GGCAAGAAAATATTCGCTTATCGTTCTTTTGCGTCAAATTTGAGGCCAAGCCGCCGAGAGCGTAGGAAGTGTATCGGTAAGCGTGAGTGGGCCCTCGAAAACTAAATACAGCATGCTTTAAAAAGCTACTTCTTATTCCAACTGTATGTGCCTGACGTCAGGACATTTAGGGTGCCTTCATACACACACACGACTTCCACCCGGTTTTACGTTGGTGTCAGCTTTTGAATGAGTGCACGCCGACGCCCGCAAGTTTCAACGGTCGCCGTTGTTGATAACTTCTGTCGCAATCTTGGTTCTCAACTCAACCGGCTCAATGGGTTCGAAGTCGGTGCCATAAGTGTTCAGGTGATTGCTGGTTGCCTCGTCGCACGCGGCGTTAATTGTGTGGCACTGCGACGACCATAGAAACAGTGGTTACAAGTGTTGTACCTGTAAATTTGGACGAGTGGAAGTTTACGCAGCGAATTTTACGTTTTTGTGGTGCACGTGAACGTTCGCTAGGACTGCGTCACTGGTAGCTCGCGGCGGCCGAAGCATGACAGGTTGTTGCGTTTCACAATGTTCGAACAATCGGAACGGAATGAGAATGCTTCGCTTCCCGTAGAAAGACATGTTGGTTGGCCCAAATTAAGGGAGACCGCTCGGTGGTGACACCGTTGTCATTAATGTGTGCATTGTCAGTTCTGTGTTTTGCAATAATGTCTGTACCACAGTTACATAGAGACCTAATTTGTACGCTATACGATTGACGTATTTCAAGAACTACCATGCATCTATTACATTATATTACCCTTACAAAGTATCAAAAAAGGAGGGGGGGGGGGTGCTGCCACAGGCGTGAAGGAACATGAATCGGGACTTTCGCGTGTGCAACCGTGCAACGTGGACCCCACGAACTTGCCTGCCCATTGATCCTATTTCTAGGGAAATTTTTACCTCTGTTGAGCTCTAGTTTTCACGTTGGAATACAGATAAAGCACGTAGACATACCGTGAGGTAACCGTTGGAACCCAATGAAGAGGTATCTTTAATGAAACAGACGTACCTAAGGGGAAAAAGATCTGTTTAACTGAATGCAAGAAAATATCTGTTAAGTCCCATGTTTTTTTTTTTTCATTTGATTATTAGGTGCAAAGCCGCAAGAGAAAGCTGAGCACCAAATTTACAAACATTTACTTTGGCAAAAATGGCAGAAATCGCAGCTGTACAGACTACATCTGCTTGGGCATCTGTGAACTAAATTACTTAACTTATGCCAAGGGTTGTACAAAGTCGTGCTCAAAAAGTAGTGGTCAAAATGCTTCTCTACATCTGGTTCCTTTTTACGTTGTAATATAACGCAGTTTTCACAACTGTCATTTGCTGTCAGCCCCATTCTTTGGCTAATAAAGCTGATTTTCAGATATCTTCCTAATTGTATAAATTGAAATTCTCTGGCGAAAGTGACTAAAAACTTTCTTTTAAGTAAAGCAAACCTAATAAAAGTCAGTACAATGGGTTTCAAGCTACAAATGTTTGTTCTTTGTCTCTGTACTTTGTTCCTTGATTGGCAAGTAGGTGTTCACCTGCTAAGTTCGAGGATGTCAGTCCGATTCCGTGCCGTATATTGGCTGGATTTTGATCGGCTTCAAATTTGAAAACAGTCTTGCACTTTCAGAAAATGTAGGTTGCCAAAGCTAAAATCCTAGACCATCTCACTATGTCATGTTCCATAATTGTAATTGATTGATATTAGGAGTTTAACGTCCCAAAATAACCATATAATTATGAGAGATGCTGTCATGGAGAACTACGAAATTTCGGCCACCTGGGGTTCCTTCACGTGCGCCCAAATCTGAGCACACGGGCCTGAGCATTTTCGCCTCCATCGCAAATGCAGCCGCCGCAGCCGGGATTCGATCGCGCGACCTGAAGGTCAGTAGCCGAGCACCTTCGCCTCTAGACCATCGTGGTAGGGCGCCCATAATCATATCATGACATGTTATACGCCACAGTTTTTTAGGCACTTCTGAAGTACTGTACAACTTTTCGCTAAACAAACGGACGCCCACCTTTCACATGCAAAATAGTATACAGACAACCATCATGTGGTGCAACTACCCTTCCTTGAATAGCTGTTCAGTCATGCAATGAGGACAAATTAAACATTTATTACGACGTGGCACCTCTATAAGTGTGTATTCATTTTCGCCTTCAGTTTTAGCCCGTGGTTTTTCAAATACATCTGCATTGACATGAATGTGACTGAAGGGGCTTGTTGGTGATTCATGACAAATGGCATTTCTGATAGCACAGCAAAACAATTTGATATAACAAGAATAATGACTTATTTCAAGATTATTGACTTAAAGATCGGTTAATGTATTAATAAAGATTGGTTAACATCGAGATTATCCGTCTACCACAAACTTTTTGAAGTTTCTGATAGCATAGAAGAACGATTTTTTTAATACAAAGATTGATTGATTGATTAATCCATGTGCCATAAATGTTCTGAAGTTGCATTTTATTCAAGCTTAAGTGAATATTGAGTACCTTCATGCGCTCGCTTGCAAGTGGTCGGACAGGTTGCGCCTGCATTGCACTAACTACGTCTGTAATTGTATCCTAAAGCTTCTGTAGTTCCACAGCGCTAGGCATAAGGGTTTACTGTTGTTAGCTGATTCTTAAAAAAACCATCACAAATGAATGCGAGGATTGTAAACATGCCATTTCCGAGCTGCCATGCTTATTTATGCAGCATTACAGTACTTCTTAATCAAATGCTTTGTCTTTGTGCTTCCGAGGTCTCTCATGCGCTGTGTTCACATGCAATGTTCAAAATAATTTATCGCAATCAAGGCTTTGTACAGCACTGGCATATTCGGGCACTAGCTGGCACACACGAAAATAACCCGCGCTGGTGGTAGAATTGCCTTGTTTAGCCAAATAGTGAAATACAAAAATTATTTGTGAACTTGATTCCGTAAAACTAAAGGCAGGGTTCTTATTGAGAAATCCTTACACAAAATGTTTTCCTCCATATCATCTCGAAGCTTCGATAGGCGCAATATTCCTTTACACGACGATGCAAAATACCAGCACTTCTAAGAAGAACCAAAGCGTTCTGCGACGAGAACATGCATGTTACCTGCATGCACGGGCACCCAATGCTACGAGAACGAACCTTTTGAAGGGTTCGACCATGGAGCAGCTTATGGCCAAGCACGACGTCTTGATGTGCGATTACATAATGTGCGCATATGCGAGAACACCCCGCTGAAAAAGCCACGAAGGCTCACTGCATTGCACTCACAATGTTGAAAAAGCCGAACTTCACGTTTTTATAAGTGCTGTATGCAAGCTCTGCACGCTAACCAATCCTCAGCCAACCCGCAAGAGAGAATTAACATGGCGGCCCGCCAAATTTAACGGTGAATATGAGTGACAATTGGGTTGCCTGCCGAATCTGGCGGCTACCAGCGTCTTCACTGTTGAAGATGTCGCCACCCTAAAACCGGGTGGGAGGCGTGTGTCTATGAAGGCTCCCTAACGACATGGCTTGAGCTGCGCCACCAGGTGGTAGTATATCCACGCGCAAGTTCTAATAGCGTATGCTCGTCCACGCGTAGCTTCTTCGATCGTCTGTTTCGTCTACTGCCCGCCGCAAGTGTGGCAACCCTCATGGCTGGGGGGCACAACATTGGGATAGTGTCACATTTAGGACACAGGCTCTTCATGGACAATCCGAACTCGGCCAATAACTGCACGTTGCGTGTGTACGTGGCAGGACTGAAGTGCAGCGAACAGAGTAAACTCGGCTTGGTTGGCGTCCAGTCTCCGCCTCGGCCGTGGTGCCCGAAAACAATCCACAATTGTCTGAGTGCCAGATCGCACAGGAATTGTTGGAACTTTCACTTATTGTCCCCAGTGTCACTGATTCAACACTTCACCGAGCACAATATTGGCTCATGACGACAAATTTGAAATCAAACTCTTCCGTTGCCCTTTGATAAGCGTATTCACGTGCACTTACACTATTGCAGATTCCGCTAGCTAGCTTCACAGGTGCTGGATGACAGTGACCACACGGCGCGACTAAGTGATCGAAAAGGCTACGCGCAAGCTGCAATTTTTTTGTTTTCGTTCCTGACGTTATCACAAGTTGCCAGATTGCTGCGTGAAGTCAGCAAGAATAGTACTGTTGCCTCACGTCAAGTTATTGTCGATATCGGTAGGTGCGCCGTTAGATAATTGAGCTTAATATAAAACTAAAATATCAGCAATTGCTGAGCGTCACACTTGCTCAGAGCCGATTTGTATGGCAGAGTAAACTCATCTCCGAAAAAAGATGTAACTAACTCTTTAACGGCGTGGTCGCCATCACTGGTGCGCGCGCTATCTCACTGTCTTGGCAGCAACCTGCAAGCGGCTTATATACCTTTCTAGGCATTGTGCCGTCAACGCAAACAGAGTGCTCGAACAGTTTTCTGGAGGGGCCATTTCCTCTTACAACAGCGTTTCGTTTAGTTGCGTGAGAACGGATTCGAAAGAGCTGGCTGCCAACCTCACTTCGTATATAATATTTGAATTTGTTGCTATCGTATTCTTTTGTTCACCCGTACGGTGAAACTCACATTTTAGTTTGCGATGCCCTCTTCCCACAGGTGCCTATTTTACTAGATGCATGATAATTGGAATGAAGCTTAAGCTGGCCGATGTCCACTCAGCTTTCTATTTAGCCCTCTTCGGTAAGCCTTGGAACATACGCCATATAGAGGTGACGGCATTAAGATACAATAACGCCATAATGACGCCTCGCATTGAGGACACAGTGTCTAGAGAATATTTAGAGGTTCTTCCGCGTGCCGTGCCATGTGCTTGGACGTAGGTGTACGAATGGTTTCTAATGGTTGCTCAAGAACGTAATGCATTCGTTTTGATATCTGCGTTTCTAGAGTCAGATGTGAGCAGCAGACCAGCAGAATTGTGAAGTAATTCATGAATAACGTACAGGGTTATGTGGAACACGTTTTTATTTCTTGCATCAACACATGACTATATACAAAGGCTTAATGAGCAAGAAAAATATCATGACTACAAGTTTCACTCTTAGTGAATAATCGTAATGGAATGACAGCATGTTCGTACGCACTAATGAGTCCATCAGAGTATATGCTCAGAACTTGTCGCTTCTGAACTCCAAAATTGTATTATCAGACCACAAAAGCGAAGGCTGTGATGACTATGCTCTTCTTCGTGAGCTTGTTAGAACTTGAGTTCGTACACGAGTTTATACCGGCTTCTTGAGTACTTGTGCTAGCGCTTGTCACAATATTTTCTTGTACGCATTAGCTCTACGCGCACATACATGTTTCTTTTCACAAATGAAGCCTTTTCTTTAATTAAGTGTTGATTAGATATTGCGTAAAGCAGGCCACTCAACGAGTATGCGTATGTTTTTTTTTTTTTTGCTTCAGGCCAACACATGTTTGACGGGACATCTTTTCTAGGCGAAAGACCGCCAACGTGTGCTGTGCGTCGGTGTCAACAAGTATTCAGTGCTTTCAGTAGGTATATGCTGTAAGGCAAGCCCTTAAAACAGGCATCAGGGCAGGCCGCAATACACCTCCAATTGAATATACACATCACAAATGTCTGAAGCATGCGGTTGCGCTGCGTGAATGCTGCGTCGTCGGCTCACTGGCGCTGGCGTTTCACTCTTGCAATCATGGGCCGCCATCCTTCTATCAATACATTTTGTAAGATCCTCTCCATTCAAGCATACTCAGGTACCATCAGCCCTGGCTTGTTCCCGTTATTGCCGCTGTTGCCGCTGCGGCAGCACTTGCTCTTTCCTGCGCGGCCATATGACGGAACCTCCTGGGTAGCCGCGTTCCGTCTCCTGACTTCAGTTTCCGGGCAAGTACAGCTTCCCTGGAGACGGTCTTGAGGTCATACGCCTGGCCGAGCTTGGCCATGATATCGATGAACATGGTGCTCATGTTGAGCTTCCATCCCAGCTCGCTGGTCGAATAGTCCCAGGGAAACGTGTGGTGGAAATTGTGGAAGCCCTCTCCGACGGCGACAAACGACACCCAGGGAGCCTCGGTCGGGGAGATGCTCTTGTCAAAAGGCTTGTTGCCCCACAGGTGGGCGAAGCTGTTAACCGACCACGTGAAGTTGAGTGACAGGATGAGGCGCAGCATGGTAGCCGTGCAGAAGGCGTTCCAGTATGACTCGCCCCACAGCAAACCAGGGATGACGGTGGGCAGTACGAAGGAGAAAAGTAACACCAGCCACATGTAGTACCTGCGCACGGAAGGTGGACACGTGAAAATGGGAAACAAATGATGAAAATAGTGGTTGCGGGGCCGCAGAGAAAAGGAATAGAAATACCACTTAACGGACATACATTAGGTGTTCCCGTTAGCCATTACATGCATCACGCATGAAAGGGGCGCGTATATACGTCCTGCGGCATAATTTTGATTAATGTCGCTTTAGAGCAAAGAAATTCGGGTTGAAAAGAATTAGTCTGTATGCCGTGGACTAAAATTGCTGGGATTTCGGACGCTAGCTTACGCCCTCTGCTTCATTTATGTTTACATGTGCCTTTGAAAGGTATGATGACAAATCCTGAGTTTTGAATTTTTTGAAAAGATCAACCATCATTTAGCAAATGCGTCGATGCGAACCTATCTACGCAAGCTGCAACCGCCCCTTTACTTATGGCAGATCGTTCACGACTCCTGAAACTGTGCGTTTGTGTAGTTGACAAACGAATCAAATCTTTGTCTTCCTTAACTGTTTTCAGCTCTGCCGGAGTGGAATAATATGCATGCATACCCACGAATACCACGGTGGTATGTTTTCTGGCTATTCGTTAATTAGGCTCGCCGCGTTGTCAGACAAGGTAATTGTCGTTAACGTGCACGAAGAGCTCTGGCCTGAAAAATGATACTTTCTGGCTGCGTGCAATAATGAAAACAGTGCAATAGTGCACTGCGTGCAATAGTGCGTGCAATAGTGTTGAAGATTGATATAGGTTATGTTGGCAGAGCATGCTGCAATTGGCTCCGACAACATTAAACTGTGGTTCAACGCTGATGTTCGATTCAACCTAAAAATCCAGAATTTCTAACCAATTAAAGAAGAAGCTGCGAGACCTATAATAAATTGAGAACATATAGAGAAATAAAAGGGAAGACACTGAAGGAGGGAACTTCGGCTAGTCAGTTGGTCATTATCTCAACATTGTTGCAATCAGAAGTGGCCATTGTCTCCTGTGAAATGCTTTGGGATACGAATCGTCTTACGAATGCAGTCTTGCTTCATCAGTGAGGATGATACGATCTGTATGAAGAAAAACCGGAATCAGACGCTACTGTGGAGCCTACCCATATTTTCATCTCTTGTACACTAATTTAATCTCCCATATGCTCTTTTCATCTCATATAAATAATTTTACTCCCATATATATATATATATATATATATATATATATATATATATATATATATATATATATATATATATATATATTCAAACTCTTGGATATTATCTCCACTGTGGGAGACCATAACCAAATTTTATTCATTTCTACGTGGGCTGGCGTTTGTATGTTCCCTTTATGTAACAGTACACCTAAGTTTCCCTTATTAATGGCTGCAAGAGTCTTTTCTTTGATGCAAACCTAGTAATCATGCTCAAGCAATGCGTTCTTTTAGGCGTTCCACGCTTCATTCTTTGTTTTTATATATTTATTTATTTTTGCTTTTTTAGATGAAGTAGCCCATTTTATGAAGCCCTCATGTGTACACAGAGAAACTTCCCTACATGGCCCACGCCCGCAAATTCGCCTCTGAAGCACCATTTTCAAGTAGGAAAGGACGTCGGGAAATTTAAACACTGACGGATAAATTAAGTGCGAAACAAATCTATGAAAAGAAACCGAGTGGAAGCATAGAAATCGCAAGCAAAACACTAAATGTTGGCTTCCTTGTGTATAACGAAAACAACGGCGCCCCTCTCATTCTCGGTGGCACACTTTTTTCTCCATGGTGGTTCGAGCGACCTTGGCCCAGAGGAAGACGCCGTAAAACCCGCTTGCTAGCGCGATTTTTTTTTAACATGCGCTCGGGCTCTTTTACTGTGTTTTTTTCTGCTCTTTTCATCACCCGGCATCTATCGCTTCGTGCCCGAATGAGCCATATCGTAATAGTTCTAAAACTCTGTACCGTCGTTTTCAGCGTTCTTGCGTCTCTAAAAGAGTCCACAGGCGCCTTTTTCTAACTCTTCGCGCATGCACTTCGCGCGGGAGTTTCATACGTGTCTCCTTGAAACTAGACGGGAAAAGACGCGGTCAGCCGGGCGCACGTCGTCTTTCATCGCGCCCTGGCGGAAATTCACTTCAAATGACGGCTGCGTTACAAGGAGATGAGCAGATTTATGCATGTGGAGGAGCACCTGTGCATCACTGCTGAATACGTTTATTCAGTACCCACAAAAGCTACCATGTAACTTTGCTACATCCGAACTATATTCTGTGTGTGGAAGTTCAAATCCACGGCGACTATGAAATGCTTTAATGATTGTCGACAAGCTTCACCTATATCTGCGAGCAGTGCTTGCGTCATGCTTTAAAACGCTCATTTCAAGAAAGAAGCCTTAAGATTATCGCTTTTTGCCTTGCACCCATGTGACCATACGCTTGTCAAGTGTTCTAATGAGTTCATGTTTCGCTTCGTGTTCCTTTTGAGACAATCTTCATTAAAGGCAGACGTTCAGGGGAAGATGGAAGCTTTAAGAGAAGAAACATTCTTGAACTCGAAATATCGCTCTAGCCAACGTTTCCACAAGAAGTCTTGTTTTCATTAAGATGAAAACAAGACTTCGATGGCAACATGACTTCATGGCTTCTCTCAAAGGTGAGCTGGAAACCGCACTAGTGGACCTATATATGTGGTAATTTAGATTTCCATTATATGTTCTAGAATATTTAAATTTGTCTTTGTGGTTGCCGTTGTTTTCGTACACAGTTGCGGCAGTTTTTTACCCTTCCGCTACTCAAGACCAGCTGGATCCACAATAAATGCCCAACAATACATAATAACTACACTATAGCAGCGGATCAACACTATATGCAATATTTACAGCCAAGCAGTGGAGGCCGGCTGGGAAATTCTTGTAGAGCATTTTTCGTGCGGCATGCTCCAATTGCGCGCCGCCCTCGGAGCCAGGTTGTTACAATCTGAGCTCGTTCAAAATGAAAGAAGTGTTTGGGGGCGCGGCCGTTGAGCTATGCTGATTCATTTTTAGGTGTTCTTTTTCGCTTCAGCAGATAGAGGAATAAACAATTCAAAACGTGCTCAAAGCCTACATTTTGTTCCCGAAAGCACTTGATTCGTGTAACTGAAATTACAAATTGGCGCCCACCTGTGTGCGCGAGTGGTACGTACGCGCCGGTACAGCACCGTTCAGAAAAAAAAAATGTCCTTGTTCTCCGTATTTTTGTGAAATAAAGCATTTCGATTCGCTATTGTGTGTGGTAGCGACTACGCGTAGCAGCATAGTGCCTCGAAGTCACGTTATTCCGACGAAGACCACATCTCGCCGAATCGGCAGTGGACCCGCTGAATCGATAGTGGACCCGCCTAGAAGTAAGCCAACCCCCCCCCCCCCCCCCCCCGTGTGGGGCTTCCAAGCATCGAATACTGGAGAAATAATGGCACTTTCTGTGGTTGAATGTTGTGAAAACCTACCTCTGAACAATTAAAAGAAAGTTTTTAAGGGCGAAACTCCTAAAGATCTGTCCATCCCTTGTTGGTATATACGTAATCACCTATAGTTCCGCCTTTGCGAACTGCCCACTACTTCGTTCTTGCAAACATCCCACTACGACCCATCACCAATCCACCATTTGATGTAGTGATGTAGTGGATGATGTAGTGGGTAATATTCGCGGATTGTTCATGGTTTACAAATGAAAACCTCCAGTGCTTCGCCCCACTCATTATCATACACTCCGTGGATATGCTGCGATTTTTTTCTTGTATTTTGCAAAAAAAAACGCCTTTGCCTGATGTTTTAGATGTTTAGAGATACCTAGATTCATGGGCGAATAATAAGTTAAATATGTTTTTATTGTTTTGCCTGCAAAATTTTTTGAGGAAAAGGGTAACGCGTATGTACCCCCCCCCCGCAAAAAAAGCAAGAAAAAGTGCGTTTTGAGTACATTTTTTGAATGTGTCTACAATGCTGCCACTAACTTACAACCTAGTTGCCGCTCTGATTAACCGTGTAAAACAGGCCTTTGGAATTTTTCGCGCTTATCACCCCAGCTTTGTGCCAGCCTCCCATTATTTGATTACTATAAAACAAATCCAGCGTGACACTTACTAATCACCTATACATCAGTACCAGTACCAGTAACCAAGCAATTCATTATAATGCTGCATTACTGAATAACGAAGGCGTACCGGGACATACTTCAATGCAAAAGTGATAGGAATACTTTATTTCCTTTTGGTATCAACCTTCGTTTTCTGCCTCAAAGCAAACGCTTTTTTTTTATACGAAGAGCATTGAAAGGTACGCTACGTTAGAGCCGGCTATTACGCCATCGTGGTATGTTTGCTGTTTTTCAACAGTGAAGGTTTCAATATATTTCAAGTAAACAGCCGGAGTTAAGAATGACATAATTATCGCGCTTTACAATCAATGCACGTTCAAAAGGAAAAGGATAAACTAGTACTTCTTGGTATCAATGTTAGTGGTCAGCCTTTACCAACGCTTCGAACTTACGTGCTCATGCCCTTCGTTACACTGAAGCGTGCAGTTTCGTTAGGAGGTTATAAACGTGATACGTATCGAAATCGTACGAGCCGATTTGGCGGTTAGTACACTGGCATCAGCAGTAGTGGAAATCAATCAAAAAACAAATACTGCAATCTTCGTGCTGGCCGTTTTCACTACCGGCTTCTTGGAAGCTAAAAAATCTTGTATAATCAAACTTCAAGCCAGGAGGAAGATTAAGACTTACGAAAGTCTTACGAGCTTACGTATACCCGCAACTTCACTAGTTCGCCTTCCATATAATCTTGTCTGGAATGATTATAGCAGAAGTTTTGTTTTCATTGCAAAATTAATTGCAAGAAATAGGTGGAATGACTCTTTATTACCATGAGGCGGCCATAAAAGTAATCATTTTTATTTCACCATCGCTGCCACAAAATTCGATCATGGGGCAGAAACCTTCAAACTGCTGCCGGGTGTTGTAAGCCAAATATTTCTGATACGTTTGCTACTTTTGGGCTTAGGATTTCTTTTAGTTTCACCTGAACAATTCAAAGTATGTGGCCGTCGCATGCGGGAAAACACCATAGCTCGTTCATTCAGGCCTGTGGCTCTCAAGAAAGTTCGTGAGCTGTAAATAGTGTATTCTATACGTGCACGGTGGTATGCGTTATATTTTTATCACTGTATATGTCACAATAACCACCCAGGAGTCATGTCTAGCAAAACGCTGGGCAAACATATCCAGTTCTTCATTAAAATATTTCTCTCTTTCTCTATCTCTCACACATCACAGTTCGTGGTCAACCATCATAGTAAGCTTCTCATGCATGTATACAGATGATAAGGTACGAACCATAAGAAATAGTAGCTTGCTTCGGATCGGAAACGCATACACGTAAAAAAAAAGTTACGAATACACGCAGACCCTTTTCGACCTCGTTGCTGGTCCTGTGTGTTACCCATACTTTAAAGAAAGTTGCACAAAAAATAGCATTTATGAGGCAGGGTACGGTTACAAGCGCAAACTTGCACTGTTTATTCTTAGGTGGACACATTGCATAAGTAGGAAATATGCATCGCCGAGAGTGCATGCGCAGAATAGATATAACCGGGACCACGCGACCACAGTCCACCTAGCGACAGGCTTATTTTGACCAGCTCGTGTAAAGAATATGCCTATGACACCCCGTTGCAGCATCCCTCAGCTAGAAAAAAATCACTAAGCGTGCCGTGGCATTCGGCTTCTTTGATGTAGAGTAAGCTTCTACTACAAAATGGGCATCCATGCTACAACTTTTTTTTATATTCTTAACCTCATCCAATCTAGGATCCTGAGAGTATGTCCCACAATAATCGGCAAAAAAATTTTCTTCCCCTTTCTTCAGATTTGTAGATGTGATTTCTCGTGAACATGTCTTTTTTCACACAACTTTTTTTGTTTTAAAGTTACGAATATAATAAAACAACAGTCCTTAGAGACGTATTGCGAACAATTTGCAATTGCATGTATCAAATGTTCGAGCTCAGAACCTCAGAGATAGCATGTGCTCACAAGCTCTTTCTGTGCTTTGCGTGGTTTATTAAAAACAGTGTAAACAGTATGGCATGTAGGATACGTGTCCAGGGATATTAACAACAACCACAAAAACAACAACCACCACCCCCACAGCAGCAGCATGAACAACAGCCGAAATGTGGCTTTGGATAACCAGCCCTTACTGCTTTTGGAACCTGGCCACTGGGTCTTGCAGAATGTCGCTGCAGTCGATGTGTTTGCCCTTTTCGGTCACTTCCGGGTGTTTCCGGCACAAGAGCCAGCCGACGTGCGCGAAGAAGAAGCCGCGGTTCACGTTGTGCGGGTCGGCATCGGTCTCTGAGTACTTGTGGTGGACGCGGTGGTCACGCACCCACTCGTACAGGTCGTTCTGCGAGTCAACAGTGAGTTGGCAAGTCCTTTAGTGTGGCCGTATACAGTGTAAAATAAGTATTCAGACACGTACTGTGAGGTACAATGCAGCCAGAAAACACAGCAGGTGAATTGTTTTGTGTTGAATATATTTAAAGAAAATATAGTGCAGCCTCCGCTCAATTTGTGATCGGCGGAGTGGCGCTAATCTTTAAGAAAAGTATATGTGCCAATAAGACAAATAAAACACATAGAAAGCGCCTGGCTAAAGTGAGCTGTCCGTATGTTCAGCTTTTTAAACTAACACATATGGTCTTCTGAATTTGCGTGACAATATCCTGAATATTAAAAGCTCCTACGAAGTAAAGTCCACATTTGGCTTTTTAAGGAAGTCTGTAGCAACTTGGAGACATTTACAAAGTGGTACCTCAGTCCAGAGAAAGGATACGGTTTACGCCGCACATCTATAGTAATGAAAAAATCCAAAACAAATATGGCATGTAAACCATTGGGTATGAAACTATATGGCAAATGCAATATGTACCTTACCGTTGGTGAAGGAGCCAGAAATTTTATAAGAGTTTATGAATTAAAACAAATTAATAATGAAAATATTTCTTGCTTCGTATTCGGATGTGTTGTAGAAATGTATGCAAGTGTGATGTCTGTAATGAAAAGAATGTTTGGTAACGGCATTGAAATGTTACTAAGTGTTCGAGCTACTAAGTATAACTAGTTATTACATCAGTGATTGTGGTTGTGTTCCTACTGCATGTGCTTATACTCTTAGTGTGATTCCATCATCACTTCGACGTAATTGTTGATTACTGTAATCCATATATAATGCTGTATTACTGAATATGTTCAAAGTTGATTTGAAACATTCAGATCTGTTGCTTATGCTGCCCTAGTGAGGTAAGGCTTTATATAGTCAAAAGGTTTAAGTCCTCTTTTTGCTTTATGACGTGAGCATACCCTGCATATGTGTTATGCTCAAATAAAATATATCTCTATGTTTAGTTGCGTTTCCAGATATTGTTCAGTGGCTATATAAAAAAAGTTCTTAAAAATTAAAGAAGAAGCCACGCTGAACTCCTGTTTTCTGAGAAATGTTGTACTGTTGCTGTGTGTACTGCTGTTCAGGCCACTCGAGTGCCTAAGATGTAAAAAGAGCATTATGCAGCCATATTTACACTGCTTACGCATAGTGTTATGAGACGTTCATCTTCTTTTGCGCGAAATTAGGCAGTTCCTGCTCCATTTTGCTCGTTGGGTTTTGTTTTTTGTGAAGGGGAGCGTCCTTCAGAAGTACAGCTAGAAGTGCAGAGCGGTTGCAGTTCACTTTTTTTTTCTCTGTAACTTGTTGTCCCTGCTTTCGACCACAGGTAAACAAAGTTTACATAAGTAAGAAAGCGCCGTAAAAATACGCCGCTTGTCCATAAGAAAAGAAGTTCGAGCAAAGAGGGAAATTTCAGCATGTCGTCGTAGGTGGGTGTGGTTTGGTAATTCCTTGACTACGGCTTTCTGAAGCATAGACTTGTGGTTCAGTTTACGTCAGCGACGCATCTGAAAAGCACCGCAAAAAAATAAAATAATTACTTTTTTAAATGTACCATGAAAAGCCGAACAACGCCACAGCTCACCAGCAAAACATAATGTGAGTTTTGATTTCACTTGCATTACTATAGCGCAGACGCTTACGTCGGGAGTAGATATGAATCAACTGGCGATGAGAAGATCCGCTCTAAATGTTTTTGTTGTCATCGCGCTTGCCAACTATCGTGCTGTCATGGCCAGATCTATATACAAGTAATCGCTTTTGATTTGTTTCTACCTAACATACGCAACACTGCATGCGCATATCTTCTTATTTTGGCTGCTTGCTACAGTTGTGCACAAATTACACACATGGCACCGTGGACAGTGTGTGGTAACTGTGATGCTTTTTGAGCATTTGACTATAGTGTCGCGCGGATAATTTCATGCTCTTCAGCCTTGGATAGCGTTAAGTGACAGCTATGTCATTAATTTGATCACTATAAATTTTACGTATATTACCACTTGGTCTGGTGAGCTTAGCAAAAAATCACAATCATCTAAAAGCAGAGACACTTCCACTGGTCTCATAGAGGAAGAGGGAGGGCTCTGGTAAGGTTAGAGGCTGAGTCGCTGTTGGGATAGCGTTGCTCATTCCCAGCAATTGCGGACACCTGTACGTGGCGTCATCTTTCTGTAGCAGGAACGGCGGCCTGCCATAAATTAATAGAAAAGAGGCGAGAAAAATATCATACATCTTAAAAAATCTAGTTATCAAAAACGACTCCGGGTTATATGTAGCAGAGACCCATTGGTAAATCTTGGCAAAATTGCGGTCTCGCACTACAAAGCGTCTCGCTTCCCAGGGCAATGGAACACTGCCCATAGAAACACAAGGGATCCCACTGTTAAATATCGCATGCTTTGGGAAGCTAGTCGCTTTTTCATTCGGCAATGTAATTTCGCCAGACTGGTGAAGTCTCCACTGACAAAACCGGGAGTTGTTTTTGATAGCCAATTTTTTTTTGCAAGATACGCTTTTTTTCCTATTTTCCATTCAATTGCAGCAGGCCACCGCTTTGACCGACAAGAGATGGCGCTACATGCACATGTGCCCAAATTCTTGTATATGGCGGGCGCGAAGCTCGTTCGTGAAGTAGCACTGAGCAGCGACAACAACGCCAAGCGTTAAATATAGTCTTGCTTTAAGAAGGGCGCTGGTGCATGTTGAAGTTGAACTAAGTTTACGCGTCATCGAACTTTCGCTTTCATTAAATTGGTGGACGCCTACATAAGGAACTTAGTTTAAACTTTGGATCGATCTCTATTACACTTCACTGATGATCTTCTGACTATCAATGCTACTGCATGTGTTTCATTCAGTGTATTGAAGGTCACCGTCCACTGAAATTGTATCGTTTTTCTAAGAACCCGGAGAACAGAAAAGCCTTTCCAATGTCTGTGTAGAACGCTACGGACGCGCGTGTTCTGCGTAGTTGCATAGCTCACTCTGCATGTGCGACCATCCTGCAATATAGTGAGAATAAATTGAATCTATTGCGGAAGAAGGCAATACTTGCTCGTAAAAAATATTTATAATACAATATGTTTTCTTTTTACGTGTATATAGCAACCGGGAGGATTCAAGCTATTATTAAAATTGCAGCATGCACTCTAACGCAAGTGAAAATGCGAATTAGCAATGTAAACATCTTTAATATTTGCTCATTGAGTGTCCCATACGTTCTAGTGTTCTGCGTTATGATATCAATTTAATGTCAACAAAATTATCACACCCCTTAAAAAAAGCTATTTTTGCTGTTTTTACGACTCAAGATGGTAAGCGTTAATGGTGGTTTCGTAAGATAGGAGAAAGAAACCTGGTAAAGGTAAAAACAACGTCAATTAAGTCTAAACCTGGATGAATATTCTGTACATTCTGGCGCAGATGGCTCGCATGTGCAGAAAAGAGAATCTCTCTGCAACGCGTAATATACAAGGCGCACATGCACCAGAGCTTACAATTAAGTTTGTTGATTCATTTCTTGAGAAAGTGACGCACAGTGTGTCGAGGAAGTTGCAACTAGTTACGTCTTTCAAGTCTACCACTTAAAAACCTGCCTCTCCATGTTCATACCATCAAGTAAGAGGCAAAAGGCGAGTAATCGTCCTTGCGTAATTATACTCTTTTGGTTCTTTGTGCAACATAAATAAACGCCGTGATGAATAAACGTGCAACTGGACGCGCTCACTGCCAATGGTACTCGGTTTCCTTTGTTCAGCGTATAGATTTGCTTTTTATTCACTTAAATAAAATTCACGAACAGTCATGATTTGAATCGTAGGCCACTGGAATAGAAGTAGCTTGCCCTAATAATTTTTTTAACGAGAAAGTTGGTCAGTCTTGTGCGACGTTGACATTGACAGAAAATAACAAGGATACATGCATTCTTGCGATCCTGCCGAGAAATTTCCGTTGGAGTCTACGGCTCGTTCATTTTGAAAAAAAAACATGACAATCATAACTTTATGAAAATGAGAAGCAACAATTACATTAGGCGAAGCCTTCGCTCTCTGTCATTCTTAGAAACGGGTGCGCTGGCCTACATTGCTACGGAGGCGATTGTCCATGGTAGTACCGAGTAGATCGAGAAACAATCTCACCACCTTCTATCCGTTCATTTATTGGGGTTGAAAATCAAGCAACGTGGAAGTTATCACCAGAGGAGATATTCTCCCGCTGTCCCATTTGTGGACATGTCCGATTCGGTCTGTACTGATTGATTGGAGCTGGCGAGCAGCGCGTCACCTGTTTCCGGTCTTTCTTACGCAGCGTCATTTTGACGACAAGCACCTTTCCCAACTCTTGACATAAATGATAAAAATGGGATGCGTATTACCACAACGAATGCTGCCCCCCAGACATCAGCTTTCGGACGCACATCTCTGACGCCGTTCATGGACTCTACTAAGTTGTCCCTTGAATTAGGTTTAATGCGACCGCGCGTCTGACGGACCTAGAAGATCGTTACGATCTCCCTGCATCGCACTTCAAACATCTCCACACGTTCATACGTACGTTCAGACTTGTGAAGTGTATTTAAGAGTCCTGTTGCTGTACACGTCCCCTTAGTTTTTTTTATGCTGGGATGCGAATGTGCTGGCTGGTGTTGTGCGTTGACGACGTGGTCAAGATATATATATATATATATATATATATATATATATATATATATATATATATATATATATATATATATATATATATATATATATATATATATATATATATATATATATATGTGTGTGTGTGTGTGTGTGTGTGTGTGTGTGTGTGTGTGTGTGTGTGTGTGTGTGTGTGTGTCGTAACGACTAACCGTATTTTTACGTAACTATAAACGCGCTCCGGTGAATTGCCCATGTCCGCGAATTAGACACCTCGAGAACAGCTCCCCAGTTAGGTAATGCCGAGGGGTTGCAAAA